GAGACTTGTTCTATAGCCCTGGCTGGCTTGGTATTTGCTATGTAGCCCAGGGTGACCTTGACTCAGGACAGTCCTCCCGTGTTAACTGCTGGATGCCAGGATTACAGGTGTGAATCACCACATCTAGCTTTCTGGGAGACACTGTACCAAATGTCTGAGTATTTTTGAACAGAGGCATCTTTCGGAGATGTTCTCAGAGGACACACCAGGGATCACAGACAAGGGGCATGGAAGTTTGCTCTGGCTCAGAGGGTTTTCCAAGGTTCTTTTTGTGCCTGGCTGGGCCAAGAGCTTTGTTATCAGCTGTGTGCCTCAGGTAGGTCTCTAATACCGGAGTCACCCTTTCACCACCTGGAAAATGGTCTGAAGCATGCCTAACTCACCAGGTTGTGAGCATATTTTTATTTATTTGTTTGTTTGCTTGTTTGTTTTTAGACAGAGTCTCATGTAGTCCAGGCTGGCCTAGAACTATGTAGTTGATGGCTGGGCAGTGGTGGTGCACGCCTTTAATCCCATCACTCAGGAGGGAGGAGGCAGGTGGATCTCAGGGAGTTCCAGGACAGGCTCCAAAGCTACACAGAGAAACCCAAACCCCAAACCAAACCTATGTAGTTGAGGTTGACCCTGAACCACTGCCCTTGTCTCCAGCACCTTCCAACAAGTGCCGTGACTGCAGGTATGAAACAACACTTCTGGCCCGGGCACACACTTTCTGCTGCCAGCAATGTCTTCAGCTCAGGGGCGCCTGGCTCATTGGCAAGGCAAGGATGCCAGAGACTGGTGCTTCATTCAATGTCCTCTGGGGAGATGGCTCAGTGGTTAAGAGCACTTGTTGCTCTTGCTCAGAACCCAGGTTCGATTTCCAGGACCTACTTGGAGGCTCATAACTATCAATAACTTTAGTTCCAGGAGACCAGATGCCCTCTTCTGACCTCCTCGGACACCAAGCATGAACGTAGCACACACATGTATATTCGAGTAAAGCAATCATATACAAAAAATAAATACATCTCTTTAAAAAAAAATCCTAAACCAGGCGTTGGTGGCACAAGCCTTTAATCCCAGCACTTGGGAGGCAGAGGCAGGCAGATCTCCGTGAGTTGGAGGCCAGCCTGGTCTACAGAGAAACACTGTCTCAAAAAAAAAAAAAAAAATCCTATTGCCTCCAGAGATCCAAATGTGATCCTGATTTCATCTCTAATCAACTTTTTGTCAAATCCTTTTACATTAGCAGTTCTCAACCTATGAGCTGCAACCCCTTTGGGGGTGGATCAAACGACCCTTTCACTGGGGTCGCCTAAAACCATTGAGATACACATTTTCATTATGATTCATAACAATAGCAAAATCAGTTTTGAAATAGCAAAGAACTGTATTAAAGAGTTGCAGCATTAGGAAGGTTGGGACCCACTGATTTATATGGTTCATGCTCAGTTGCATGCGCTCATAGTGTACCTGTTATAAAAGAAGCGGGGTAGCCCATGCTTGTTTGTGTTCTGAAACCGAGTCTCACTATGTAGTCCTGGCTGCCCTAGAACTTGCTAGATTCAGCAAGGTGACCTCTAACTCACTGAGATCCACCTGCCTCTGCCTGCCAACTGCTGAGGTTAAAGGCGTGCGCCACTCGGCCTGACTGATGGACTTGGGAGGCAGAGGCAGGCGGATCGCTGTGAGTGGAAGGCCCGGTCTATCCAGCCAGGGCTACATAGCGAGACCTTATTCAAAAGCACACCACAACCGAACAACAACATGAGCCTGTAAGAGCACGGCTGGGTGGTTACACCAAGCACCTATTATGCACCGGGCACCCTTCTATGGATTCCATATTCAACAATGGTGCGCCCCAGAAAACGAATGGAAGGACCACTTGACTGTCTTCAAATTGTCAGAGCCAAAGCTTCGAGGTCCAGCGTCCTGACTAAGATCGCATCACGAAGCGTGGATAGGGCAAGAATTCAAGCTGAGGGCGACCTGCTTGAGCTCTGCGCCCACACCTCCTGCAGGAATCCATCCGTTCCCAGGCAGTGAAACTCCAAAGCCAGCCCCAACTACCCGAAACTCAACCACAGAGAACTGGCTCTCGGCCCCCCTCGCTGGCTGCTGGCTCCCGTCTTTGCTCCCGCCCCACCCTGCCACCTCCGTTTCCCTCCCTGGCCCTGGGGCCCTGCTTCTGCTCCAAACCTGCTCAGCCACAATTCCTTCCAGGTTCCCTCATCTGTAGAATGGGGATACCGACAGGCCAGCGTGTTGTGGGGCTCAGAGGAGACGCTGGAGGCGCAGTGATGGTAGTCGGTTCTCCATACAGACCAGTGGCCATCATTTCCACTGTCACGTGAATTATGCCTCTGAAGACCTTGGTTACACGTGGAGTGGCAGCTTTATCTGGCTGGGGCGGCTGAGGGAATGAAGTTCCAAGAGGTTGGGCAACAGCTGCCCAAAGTTGTTCGGCTAGAAGTAGGGGACAGGACTCTGTGAGGGACCCGCCCCCCCCCCAGACTTTCTGAATTCAAATCTTTTTAAAAAAGATTTTTATTTATTTATTATGTATACAACATTCTGCTTCCATGTATATCTGCACACCAGAAGAGGGCACCCGATCTCATAACGGATGGTTGTGAGCCACCATGTGGTTGCTGGGAATTGAACTCAGGACGTCGGGAAGAACAGCCAGTGCTCTTAACCTCTGAGCCATCTCTCCAGCTCCTGATTTCAAATCTTACTCACTACTGCCTCTCTTTGCTGGACACATGAACAAGTCATAGTCAATATTTGTTAACCACCTTTTGCATGCCAAGCCAAGCCCGATTCAAAGAGATTTGACAGAGATCATTGGAGCTTAGAATGCAATCAATGATTTACAAGACAAAAAAGTCAAGTCTTGCTTGAGGCAGAACACAATAAACTTTCAAAGAGAGTAAAAGGTCTTCCGGATGAGAGAGGGAAAATGGGCAGGGAAGGCTTCCTAAAGGAGAGATTTAAACCGGGACTTGAGGGACCAGTGAGATATGTAAATTATCTATTATTATTAATTATTATTATTTTGGTCTTTCAAGACAGAGCTTCTCTTTGTAGTCCTGGCATTCCTGGAACTCACTCTGTAGACCAGGCTGGCCTTGAACTCAGAAATCTGCCTACCTCTGCCTCTGCTGGAATTAAAGACTTGAGCCACCACTGCCTGGCCAGATCTGTGTTCCAGAGATAACATCTGACGTGGCCACAGCTGCTGATTCCTGAGGCTTTGTGGACCAGGCTCTACGCAAAGAGGTTTGCATGCACTATCTCATGAGATTTCTCCGTGATCCTATGAGGTATTATAAGGGATAGAAAAACGAGACCCAGAGAATGCTGGGCACAAAGCCTGGGCTGCTCGATTCCCGAGGACCTAATGAGGTTTTAAGCTGGAGACTCACTCTGCAGGGCTTTGAATGCCAAGGCCCAAACTTGAAAAGAAGAAGAAGAAAAAAAATCACAGAGCTGACCTTGATTGAATAGGCCAGCACCTGCCGCCGCCCCTGTCAATCGCCGCTGTCCAACACTTTCCCAGCCTCTTTAAACTTGAGAGATGTGGACTGTAAATGGATAATCAGCAAGGGGCGTTTATGAATAAATAAATAAATAAATAAATAAATAAATAAATAAATAAATAAATAAATAAATAAATAAATAAATAAATAAATAAATAAATAAATAAATAAATAAATAAATAAATATTTAGGAGAACCCTGGAGGTGTTTAACTCAGCGAGAGCGCTGGGTCCTGGGTAAATGAGTCCCCAACAGAGACCCCCACCCTGCTGTGCTTGCCAAGGGCAGGCCAGAGCTTGGGAGAGTCCGGGAGGAGCCTTTACTAGAACAAACAAGGACACCCAAGCTGGACTGTCCTAGATTTGACTGCCAACTCTCAGATCAGCAAATCTGTGAATGACCCTGGGCAAATTACCCCACCCCTCCGACTGTCTAGCTTAACCCAACCCACTTCTCAGGGTTGACTGGAGACAATAAACAACATAGCACTCGTTATGGTCTAATCTTGGTGTACTGTACTGCGGTACAGTAGGTGCTCAACAGATGCTAGTTAGTTCTTCCCGAAGAAGAAATATAAATGGGAGGCTCCGCCCTTTCCTGCCCCTCTGCCAATTAAAGAACCAGGTGTCTGGCCTTCATTTGAAGAGAAAGGGATATATACTGGCTATATTAATTAATATATTAATAAATGGATATAACATAACTAAGTAACAATGCAAACAAACAGAAGTTCTTGTGGTCTGGAGAATTCCCTGAGGGTCAAGGCTCAGGTCCAGACTCTGACTTCCCTCAAGTGTTTGGCCCCACCTTCAGGGACCCGGGGCCCATTCCTCAACGCTATTCGCTGTTCTGTGGGTCGCAACACGGGGAGTCCCGGATGCCCCTCCTGCCTCAGTTTCGCTGGCTGTTAGATCCAAGAGGAAGCTAAGTCAGCAGATGTCGCGGCCCCTTTAAGCCACTAAGCT